TACAGGAAGCCCAAGGCAGAGTTACTCTGCCCCAGGCTTCCTGGAATCAGCCGCTGATCAGTTTCAGCAGCAGCTGACTTGGGGATGCCTGGGTTTCTTAAGTTGAATCTGTATGTAAGTCAGAACTGGTGTCCAGATTCAGCCACTGTTGAAACTGATCAGTTTCAGCAGCGGCTGAATCTGGACGCCAGTTCCGACTTACATACAGATTCAACTTAAGAACAAACCTACAGTCCCTATCTTGTACGTAACCCGGGGACTGCCTGTACTTCTTTTGCTGTTATATCTATCTTGGATTCTAGTTGAATCTGTATGTAAGTCAGAACTGGTGTCCAGATTCAGCCACTGTTGAAACTGATCAGTTTCAGCAGCGGCTGAATCTGGACGCCAGTTCCGACTTACATACAGATTCAACTTAAGAACAAACCTACAGTCCCTATCTTGTACGTAACCCGGGGACTGCCTGTACTTCTTTTGCTGTTATATCTATCTTGGATTCTGTTATTTCCACTCCAACTCATCTGATGAAGTGGGTCTGACCTACGAAAGCTCGTGAGCCTATATATTTTTGTTAGTCTCTAAGGTACCAGACTACTCATTGTTCTTTGATACGCCAACACATTTACAATACCCATTCACCCTTTTTAGCCTTCCTTCCACATGTTTTGCCAACTACTTTGAAGTGGATATTTCAGGCTGTACAGTCAGTCTGTTCTGGATGCAGGCTCTATTAAGCAGGATAGTGAAAGCAGTGTAGCAATCTGAGATTAACAAATGTCCACTCCTAGGTTTTCTAGGTTATTTTTAAGTGATAAGAAAATACCACCATCTATTTAAAAAAACAAAACAAAAACACTACTGTGCAAACGGAAGCCCTTGACTCATCAAACGTATCATACACCTGGATATGCAAGGCACTGAGTGGAATACAGCATCACCGCTCATTACAGTTTAGTGAAACACACGTCACAGGCTAGCCTCACTCATCAGAACTGTAAAGATTCAGTATAAAACTACTGCTTTAACTGTGGATAAATGAGCCAGAAGTCTCTTATAGAAACACCCAGAGACTAATTTCAGTGAAATTGTCTTAGGGGGTTAAATTTACCAGAGAATGAAAAAGGTTCAAGTCTTCAACATGCAGTCAGTTTGATAAATTCTTGTCATTCTAACCCTGGCAAGATTTCACCTTTTCCTTCTTGCTCATCATTAGCAGAAATAAAGAAAGGGACATCAATGACTTAAGTTATAGCCGTCTCAAAATTTTACATTCTTATTGCCAATATCTCCTATGACTCAGATTAGCGAGAAAAGCGTTGTTCTGTTTTTTAATTTGTTCACATCGGGCATGTGACAGCATTTTGTGTTTAGTCAGTTTCATGTTTTCGTCTGCATAGTTGGATTGATTTCCCTTTTTAGTTCATGTGGATTTTTCACATAGCAAACAGTAGAAAAGAGCATTTTTAAAAAGGGACCTTGTGATCAGTAAATGCCGTGGAAAATAGCAGGTCTAAGTGCTGTGCCTGAAATGCCTATAACCTTAGTCTAAAAAACTAAGTTTCAAATTGCTGGTGCTCATTTAATTTGAGACAAAAGTTGAAGAATTTCAATACAGTTTACAATACACAGGGCAGACTAACAAAAGTCCACAGAAATAAGCTGCAACCTTCTTCTTGCTGATACAAAAGAGAAATCTATTAGATGGATGCATAAGAATGTACCTTCCTGGTATGGAATTCAGAGAGGCAAAGTACTGTATCAGATCCAATACATAGCCAGAATGGGATATCTGCCCAGACATCTTGTTCTGACTTTATATGTAAATCACATAGCAGTACCCTAAAATAAAGAATTCCCTGCACGCTAATTTAGGCTGAAAAAAAGCCTGGGTATTTCCCATCACTTGTCCCCTTTAACTATTTCAATGGAAGCTTCAGGGGGTAGCCGAATTAGTCTGTACAGGATAAACTTAAACAACAAATGGTCTAGTAGCACTTTAAAGACTAACAAACCACGATACCATCTACATGTTTTGTTAGTCTATAAAGCGCTACCAGATCATTTGTTATTTTTTAAGTTTATTTCAATGGAGGCTTTGTTTGCAGCAGCCAGGAGGAACAAGTGACTCCATCGATTAACTGTTCCTGTATCTGCCAGGGAGCCTTGGGGAATAACATGGTTGCAGGAGTATCTGAGAATGCTGCAGTACTCAACTGCTACACTTGGTGTTAACGAGGTTAATGATTTAACCAACTCCTCAGATCAGGAGAGCAAGCAGGAGGAACTGCAGCAGAAAGTGCAGGTATTTGTGCAGATTTAGATC